GTGTGTGTGTGAGTGCCGGTGTGTTGTTGTATGAAAGGTGTGTGTGTGTGAGTACCCGTGTGTTGTTGAATGAAAGGTGTGTGTTGTGAGTACCGCGTGTGTTGTATGAAGGTGTGTGTGTGTGAGTACCGTGCGTATTGTATGAAGGTGTGTGAGTACCATGCGCGTTGTATGAAGGTGTGTGTGTGAGTACCATGTGTGTTGTATGAAGGTGTGCGTGTGACAGTGTGCATATCCCACATGTGAGTGGGGGTGGGTGTGTGTGAGCACACGAGTGTGCACGTGCAGGGTCAGGCAGAGCCACAGGGACCTGCGTGTTTACTGAAAGCTACAAGACCTCGGCACCCGGAGTCTCAGGAATGCTGGGCTCCAGGCAGGAATGTCTGGGGACACGGCTGCGTCCGGACGGCGGGGATTCGGGAGACACCACCCTTGCGTTTGGGTCACCGTCTCCGCTGTCTTCTCTTCTCACCCCATCGCCCAAGCCGCTGCGATGCTGCTACAGCTCTGCCTGTTTCTCCCAGGCGGCCCCTCCTGCTGGCAAGCGGGACCCACTCCCCCAAGAGCAGCTGTTTTTAGCAGACAACATTTTCTTTTTAAAGGCATATTTATTTATTTGAAAGTCAGAGTTACACAGAGAGAGGAGAGGCAGAGAGAGAGAGAGAGGTCCTCCATCCAATGGTTCACTCCGCAGTTGGCCACAACTGCACCAAACCAAAGCCAGGAGCCAGGGCCCAAGGACTTGGGCCATCTTCCACTGCCTTCCCAGGCAACAGAGAGAGCTTAATGGGAGGAGGAGCAGCCGGGACTAGAACCGGTGTCCACATGCATGCTGGCGCTTCAGGCCAGGGCGTTAACCCACTGAGCCACAGCGCCAGCCCCAGCAGACAGCAGTTTAATCATGAAAGTGTCGCGCAGCAGAAATGGCGAGGGCCCATGGGAAAAAAGACGACGCCCAGAATAAAAGAGCTCGCTCAACCACGTCTTCTCTTTCTCCTCTAGGGAACAAACTTGGCCGACAGAGCCCCTGCCACCGTCGAAAGCATTTGGGGGTGGTGGCACCTGCACCCCGGTCCCCTAGGACACTGGGCTCACAGCCAGACGGCCTTGGAAAGCAGCTCTGGGCCACTCCAAGGAGCCCTCCTGGCAGCCTCTCCACCCCGATAGGCTCAGCATTGGAGCAGCTGAGGTCCAGGTATCTGCAGGCGCCTGTAGGGTCACACGCGTCCAACCCTCTCGCTTCCCCACCCTCAAAAGTCGGGGCAGTGGGCCCCCGATATTGCTATAACTATGTGTGCCCAGCGGGGGACTTCACCCGGCACGTGAATGACGCAGGCAACAGCATCCCAAGCCCACGGTCCCCCTCCCCGGGAGTTACTTACTAGGTTGGCATTTAAAGGAGACCAGCAGGTATTTACTGCTTCCTGGACAAAGGTCAGGTCCAAAGACACGGCTATTGACCAGGAGGTGGCAGGCCCGCTGGTTCTGGCACTCATCCAGCACCTTCTAGAAGGAGGGGAGAAAAGGGACAGGCTTGAAAACGGCACACAGTGTCGCCTGACCCCACACCTGGGCTGCGCTGGACTCTGGGGTGGGAGGGGCGCCTCCTTGCCTGCGACACGCGCACGTGCATGCGGGTGATAGGGTGGCCCCGGTGCCCCTGCTCGTCCCCAGGGCTGGCAACCTGACCCCACAGCACCAGCCCCACCAGGAGGCCACTTCCATGACCCTCGTGGCTGCCGAAGCCTTTGACAGAAGCAATGCATTGTGGGGATTCCAGGGGACACCTTGAGGTATCCAGGGGCTGTTTGAAGATGCTCCCTTAGCTGCAAAGCTGAGCAAGCCATGGCGGTCAGGAGCCAGGGTCACAGCTCCTCACCCTCAGAGAGAGCCCTGCACGGGGCCACAGGTGAGCGGGGCGGGTGGGGTGGGCCTGAGAGCTCTGAGCCCTTGTCAGTTCATGACCCTCCACTGGGGCTGACACAGCACAGGTAAGAAGCCAATGCCTGCCCTGGCCAGACTTGAGAGCACAGGCCCCCACTGCTCCCTCGTGGAGCAATGCTCTTAGCACAACACCCAGACTCTCTCTCTCTCTCTCTCTCTCTGTCTCTCTCTCTATGTGCCTCTGTCTCTCTCTCTCTTCCAGGAACCTCCCTCATCTATTAATGAAACTGCCCCGTGGCGGCTCATGGAGCTTCCCACGCTGGGTCACGGACAGCCCCAGCACTGGGCTGCTGTTGTTCTTGGTTCCCAAACACAACCGACCTGACTTGTGATACACTCGGAGGCCCTGGACTCAGTTCTGGGGAAAACAGAACACCACGGACTGTAAAAACAGCTCCCAAGACTCTACTTATTGCCGGAGGTCTGGGTTTCCAGCCTCTCGGAGTGGCCAAGCTCCCACAGTAGCTCAAGGAATATTTCTGGGAAGGATCAGGCACTGCCAGGTGCCACCTCCACCCTAGGACTGGGGTGTCCATCCCAGCAGATGCACATCCATTAGGAAGAATTCCCAGGGAAGGGGCTGGCACTGTGGCATAGTGGGTTAAGCTGCCGCCTCCAACACCAGCATCTCACATGGGCACCTGCTAGAGTCCTGGCTGCTCCACTCCTGATCCAGTTCCCTGCTAATGGACCTGGGAAAAGCAGAAGAAGATGGCCCAAGTCCTTGGGTCCCTGCCACCCCATGGGAGATCTGGATGGAGTTCCAGGCTCCTGGCTTCAGCTTGGCTCACCCCAGCCATTGCAGCCATTTGCAGAGTGGACCAGCAGATGGAAGATCTCTCTCTCTCTCTCCTCCTACTCCCTTGTAACTTTGCCTTTCAAATGAATAAAACATTAAAGAAAAAAAAAAAGACTGCCTAAGGAAACCCCTGGAGCCCCAGGAGGCTTGGCTTTCAGATGACGGAGCCCGTTAGTGAGGACAAGGGTCCTGGTGAAACAACTCCTTGGTGGTGGCACTGTGGCGCAGCAGGTTAAAGTCCTGGCTTGAAGTGCTGGCATCGCATATGGGTGCTGGTTCAAGACCAGGCTGCTCCACTTCCTATCCAGTTCTCTGCTGTGGCCTGGGAAAGCAGCAGAAGATGGCCCAAGTCCTTGGGCCCCTGCACCGGCATGGGAGACTGGGAGGTCCCTGGATGGCTCCACCATCGCAACCCCGGCAGGGCTGTGTCCAAACGGTATGTGAGCTGGAAAGTGCAGAGAGGGGGCAGGTCAGCTGTGGCCTCCTGCCTGGACATCAGCCGTCCTCTCCCTGTCTTGAGGCTGCACCTTGCCTGGGCTCCCAGGTAGCACAAAACTCCCGAAGGGCAGGACTCTTGATCCCTGCATGAAAGAGCAGCACACAGGGAAGAGTCCGGCCAAGCAGCCCCTGAGCAACACGAGCGCTGTGCTCACAAACGCTAGCTTGTCAGCCTGACGGAGCAGCCCCTCGCCTCGGGGGGGCCTGGCTGAGGCAGGGCTCTGGTGTGCCAGGAGTTCACACTGCCCTCAAGGAGGCACTTCCACCCGTTGGGCCCTGGCCAGTGCTCTTTTTAGATACCTGGGAGGGCAGGAGATGGTCTGGGTACCACGGATGGGTGGGCAGGCAGGTGGGAGAGGGGACAAGGGCAGGTCCATGGGGTCCTGGCTTCTGGGGAGTATCCAAGGGGAAGAGCTGGGCAATCAGTGAGGTGCACGTGGAGAGACACTGCCAGCTACCTGAAGAAACGCATTGCCACTCATCAGAGCCCCCTCAAGAGAACCCACTCATAAACACTCCTTTGGGCCACTCGATTGGTGCCTTTTTTTTTTTTTTTTTTTTGACAGGCAGAGGGGACAGTGAGAGAGAGAGACAGAGAGAAAGGTCTTCCTTTTCCATTGGTTCACCCCACAATGGCTGCTACGGCCAGCGCACCACGCTGATCTGAAGCCAGGAGCCAGGTACTTCTCCTGGTCTCCCATGGGTGCAGGGCCCAAGCACTTGGGCCATCCTCCACTGCACTCCCTGGCCACAGCAGAGAGCTGGCCTGGAAGAGGGGCAACCGGGACAGAATCCGGCGCCCCGACCGGGACTAGAACCTGGTGTGCCAGCGGCGCCGCAGGCGGAGGATTAGCCTAGTGAGCTGCCGCACCGGCTGATTGGTGCTTTTGCAATCACACGGCTACCCAGCCCCTGGTTCTCAGATGGGAACCAGTAAATGGTATGAGAGATAGAAAACTCCTTCCATCATTTAATTCCTTGTGCTTCTCCTCTTTGGGCCTTGGAGAGGGTCAGACACCATTACCTCTACTTCTGTTTCTCCTTAGTCTCCTCCTACCTTCCTCTCTACCCATACTTTCCTTCCCATGGAGACAAAACCAAGCTGACTCCACTCACCACCTGCTCTGAACACCCCTCCTTCAACACATTCACAGGCAACTTGGGAGACTTCTTAAAAAAAAAAAAAAAAAAGGTTACCCTGGTATGACCTTGTACCCTGGTGTGACCTTGACTAACCCGCTGTAAGTGTTGAGGGGCCAGAGACAGCAGAGTAGAAGCTCGCTGGCGAATTGAAAGTCACGAATGGGCTAAAGCCATCGCGGAAAGGCTGGTTTTGACCTCTGCCCGCATCAAACGTCTCCCCAGACGGGCCGGCCAGAACAAGAATGAGTTAAAGGTCCTGCTCCCCACCAGCTTGTCATACTATTCAGTAGAACAGCCCGAAAAGAACACGGGTCCCTACAACTGAAGAAGCGCACCCTAAAAAAAAAGAGCAAGACAACTGCTGCTATTTCTCCTCCTCGAGTCCACTCTCTAAGAACTTGGTCGTGCGTGGCCTCTGCCTAGCAGAGAGCCTCGTGGTCTCCACTCGAGAATCCCCTACCTTTCCTGGGGTAGTGATACGGGAGCTGGGGCTGTGGAGTCCCCCGCACTTGTACTTGGCTTTTCCGCACTAAGGAGATCGTCTGGGGGAAACAAAATCCTATTGCAGGTGTACTAAGGCAGCTCCCCAACAGGTAGGGATTCTAGCTCAACTTGTTTTGATAGAGAAGCAAATAATAGCTCGCTTGCAAATTGGTGATGTGAGCCAATTGGGTTTTCATGGATTAGGTATGCTTTGAGGGGTCTGTCATTGTCACAAACATATATAAACAGAGAGAGAAAGAGAGAGAGAGAGAGAGAGAGAGAGAGAGCATCTGAACATCTTGCCGTGTCTACGAGAGACAGTACCTGCAAGGTGGTGGGTGCCACACAGGCTAAGCTGTCTTCCCTCTCGGGGGCTGGCTGCTGGGAGCTACACATGCGGAAATCTTGCCCGTAAAACGCCGATTGGACACTGATGGTGGAATGCCGAGGGCACTGCAGGTTCAAGTGGTCCCCGTCACATGCATAGGCCGTGTGGTTCTGCAGGAGTTTGGTTAGGTAACCTGGAAAACACACAGCCGGGTTACAAGGGGGCCCAGGAGCCCACAGTCCTGCACAGGTCCCGGAGCAGGAGGTCAGGACGTCTGTTTCCCCGAGTGGGGAAGGGGTTGCTGGGTGGGGGAGACGCAGGGCCTCGCCTCCAGACCAGCTCTGGGTGAGGGTGGGGGGTAGGGTCAGGCTGGGAGTGGGCCAGCTCTCATTTGTGGGCCAGAACCCACGTGGTCTGGGCTGGTCCATTCTAAGGCGGATGGGGAGGGGGATGAGGGAGTGGTAGTAGAGGGCTCTTTGCAGGGCAGGCAGATCCAAGGGATTGGCCAGGAGCCACCGGGATCAGAAGCACCTCTATAAAACGGGAAATCATTCTGAGTGGGTGTCCCCTGGGCACGCTGATGCCTGTCCTGACGCCTGTCTGATCTCCCGCCGGCGGCAAGGCCACGGCTCCCTGGAGTGAGGGGATGCAGCTCTGTTGCAGGAGGCTGCTCCGGAGGGCCTGGCTCCCCGCTGGAGAGGAAAGCCTGGCGCCACTGCCTGCACTGCTCTTTTGGGGGTGTACGGTGCTCCCCCCCCCTCATGTGCGCCAGGAGCCTCAGCATGTGGTCTGGTTTAGAAAGCAGGTGGGTGCCGGCATCACAAGTCGGGCTGAGGTCAGGCTGCAGAAAGGTGCCCAAGGCTGGGCCACTTGTTGCAGCAGCCCCAGGAAGCTGAGCCCCGGCCTCCTCCTCGCTGCTTCTCTCTGAGGAGCTGCGGGATGGCCTGGCAGGTGCAGGGGCCAGCCCTGCCTCTCAGAAACCAGGGAGGAGGGTTCATTCCTCTCCGCCTTCTCACACTTCCCGGGGTCAACATGGAGGCGACTGGGAGCAGAGCCAGGGACTTTCTGCAGAGGTGCGTGGGAGTCGGGCTTGGCAGACCTTGGCCTTGGCCTCCGAGAGGGAGGAGGTGGAGCGAGAGAGGGCAGAGGCCGAACTCCCCGATTCCCACATGGCAAACCAGGGGCTTAAGTCACTCCTGTGTAGGTCTCAAAATGCTTGTGAAACAAGTCTCACAATGAGGCTCCCAATCTAGCTCTCAGGGCTTCCCACAAACTCACGGCCAGGGGGACCGTGGCAGGCCTGGTGCTATCCCCCGAGCCCATCCAGAGCGTTCTGGGGAGGAAGGCTGTGAGCAGCCGGCATACATAAGCCAGACCTGGGCTGACTCCGCTGATATCCCTCCCTTGAAAACCACCAGAAGCACGGCCAGGGAATCAGCTGCCCTGAGCAAGTTCACGTGCAAGAGCAAAGACTAACAGGAGCAGCCGAAGGACACCAGTGTGGCTGGGAGTCCTGTCCATTGTGGGCAACAGTGTCACTCTGACCGTGCACCCTCCAGGCACAGAGACCCCCGGGGTCCTGGGCCTCTGGTCAACGTTCTCCTATAAGGCACACAAGTGGCCCCTGACACAGAGAACCGGAAGGAAGTTCAGCACCACATTGGGAGCCACGTCCTGCCCCCAGGGAGTCACAGTCCCCCGCTGCTACCCCTGCTGCTGGTCCCCCACGTGGAGGTCCCTTTGTGCTCCTCATTTCAACTTCCTTGTCCATCGTCCGCCATCGTCCAGGACCAAGCTCACTGAGGAGCTGCCTACAGCATCGAGTCAGTTCAATCAGCCAATCAAAGCCAGGACCTCGGCGTGACCTTTGGTTTGTCTGAAAGACGGTACCCCAGCTAGATGAAGAACACAACAGTGCCCGTGGGGAACGGGGCCACAGGATGAAAGGGGCCTGGGTGACGGATTCTTGGACAGAAGGGCTCCCGGCTCTGCAGGCTGGTGCCTGAGTGAGAGGCGCATCCACTACGTTTGGATCATGGCTCCTCTTTGGTCTACTTGTATTGTCATAAGGTCTGTCCAGAGCTTGATCGCTGTGGGAACCCTGGCAACCACACCTCAGCCCCCAGCCACCTCTCCCTGTACCGTATTTTCATTCTCAGAGCGCTACCCTGGGGGCAGACGCTTGATGCACAGAACCCCAGCACGAGCTGATTCAGGGTCTTTGCACGCCGAGGGGGAGGATCCGTGCTGCGCCCAGCGTGTTGTCCCAATGCAGCGCAGGTGCACCAAAGACGCGCCAACACCTGCTCCAGACTCAGCCCCACTGCCCTGCAAAAGCTCCCGCCTCCAGCCAGACGATGGAATACGTTCAACGGCAAAAATAAATGAGCTCTCGAGCCACAGGCAGCCAGGGAGGGACCTTAAGTGCCTGTAATGAAGTGAGAGAAGACAGTCTGAAGAGGTCCCACGTGGAATGATTCCAACTATGTGACCTTCTGGAAAAGATGAGACCATGGGAGACAATAACAACAGATCCGTGGCTGCCGGCACTTGGGGAGGGGAGGAACGAAGAGAGGAAACACAGAGGGTTCTTAGGGCAGTGAAACTGCTCTGCGGGTGCTGGAGCAGTGGGTTCAGGTTCGCACACATTTCTGCAAACTCACGGGATGTACAAGGCCAGGACTGAACCCTAAAGTAAAGCACAGATTGGCAGGCCCACCGGTTGTCACCAAGGCACCCCTCTGGCTTGATGTTGATGTTAGGGGGGCTCTAATTGTGTGAGCAGTGGGGAGAGACATCTACAGACACTGTACTCTCTGCTCCGCTTTGCTATGAACCTAAATCTTCTCTTAGAAATAAAGTCTATTTAGAGGCCTGCGTTGTGACGTAGTGGGTTAAGTCACTGCCTGCAACACTGGCATCCATATCTGAGTGCCAGTTCAAGTCCCGGCTGTTCCACTTAAGATCTAATTCGCTGCTACTACTCCTGAGAAAGCCGTGGGAGGTGGCCCAAGTAATTGGGCCCCTGCCACCCATGTGGGAGACCTGGATGGAGCTCCTGGCTCCTGGCTTCAGCCTGGCCCAGTCTAGGCCATTGCGGCCATCTGGGGAGTGAACCAGCAGACGGAAGATCTCTCTCTATCTCTCTGTCTCTCTCTGTGTGTGTGTGTGTGTGTGTGTGTGTGTGTGTGTGTGTAACTCTCTCGCAGGGCCAATCGCCGCTCAGAGAGCCCACTCCTAACACCATCACCTTGTGGGTTAAGGTCCAGCACAGGAGTTTTGGAGGGATGGGCACATTCAGACCACAGCACCGTGTGTATGCAGGTGTGTTTACAAAGACACATATGCACATGAGTTCCAGGCCATACACACATGCAAATTCTGCTTCTTAGTGTAGACTGTGTTCCAACGAGTCTTAAAGGGTTAGCAAGAGGCTGCTTGAAATGATGGCTGGTGGGATCCAAGCTCAAAACAGGGAAGGGAAGAAACAGAGCCGGGTGGGGGTAGGGGGGCAGGCTCAGAAGTTCTGCTGCGGCCAGCAAGGCCCATGTGGGCGATCAGAGGAGGAGAAGGCTATGCCCAGCAGTCATTTTTTTAAAAAGATTTATTTTATTTACTTAAAAGGCAGAGTTACAAGGAGAGAGGCAGACACACACACACACACACACACACACACACACACACACAGATCTTCCACCTGCTGGTTCACTTCCAAATGGCTGCACAGCCAATGCAGGGCCGGGAGTTTTGTCTGGGTCTCCCACGTGAGTGGCAGGGGCCCGAGCACTGGGTCAAGTCTTGCTCCTTTCCCAGGTGCATCAGCAGGGAGCTGTATGGGAAGTGGAGCAGCTGGGACTGGAACTGGTGCCCACATGGGACGCTGGCATCACAGGTGCAGCTCAACCCGCCGAGACACAATGCCGGCTCCCCCCAATGGTCATTTGAAGATGAAGCGGTCGCAGGCAATGGGATTGTTCAAAGAGGGCCATGGACGAGGGGGCAAGAGGCACACGGCGATGTCAGCAGGAAATGAGGAAGCCGGAACTGAGAGAGGGAAGGTGCCCTGGGGACTAGGTGTCTGCCAGGATGAAGGCAGGAGTGGGGTGGGGCAGGAGCCTGCTGCCAGGGTCGTCTTTGGACAAAGGGCAGATGACAGATGAGCCGCTCCCAGTTGGATGCCCTTCCCGGTGCGAATCCGCTACCTCCGGGAACGAGCACATGTTTCGCCACGTGCCAGGCAGAGTCTACGCATGCCTCAGCCTCCCCACGCCTCAACTTCTTGGCTGGTTCAGAAGAGAACCTTTTAAAGAAACAACCGCTAATGCAGCTTGGTGCTAACGGTGCTCTCTGGATCAAATTCTGCATCAGGTTGGCTCAGCCCAAAATTGCTTCGTATCCTCATCGTCTCAGCCTGGGATCTTACGGTCTGACTCTACCTTTGCAGGCAAGCTCATGCTGTCCTGAAGACAGACAGACAAGGCACACTCGGCAAAAAAAAAAAATCAGTCCTCAGTGTCCAGCGGAGCCTGGGGCCATTCTCTACACGGGGTAGCTGGTGAGAGGGGAAACGGAAGTGGGTGGGGTCTCCCCGTCAGCTTCAGGTACTCAGGGGTCTTCAGCAAGTGGATGCCACCTCTGGGTTAGGGTTAGGGTTAGGGTTAGGGTTAGGGTTAGGGTTAGGGTTAGGGTGAATGATCCCAGAACCAGCCCCTATGGCTGTGGCCATGCCTAGGACCCTCCCCAGAGGAAGATCTTGAAAGGGTTAGGCTGGGCAAATCTGAGTGGTTTAGATACAGGTTTCTATGCTTCTCTTTTTAAAACGTAGATGGAACTGGTGCTGTGGCGCAGCGGGTTAAAGCCCCAGCCTGCAGTGCTGGCATCCCATATGGGCACCGGTTCAAGTCCCAGCTGCTCCACTTCCGATCCAGCTCTCTGCTATGGCCTGGGAAAACAGTAGAAGATGACCCAAGTCCTTGGGCCCTTGCACCCACTTGGGAGACCCAGAGGAAGCTCCTGGTTCCAGGCTTCGGATTAACCCAGCTCTGGCTCTTGCAGTCATTTGGGGAGTGAACCAGTGGAATGGAAGACCTCTCTCTCTTTGGCTCTAACTCTCTCTGTAACACTTTCAAATAAAGAAAATACATCTTTAAAAAATAAATAAAATAAAAGTAGGTAAAGTGCCTGGAAAACAAA